TAACAGCACAAGAAAACAGTACTTAAGAAATATTCTGGAAGGAAATGTACAATCTAAATCTAATCACGAGGAACCATAAGAAAATTCGGGAGTAAAGAACATTCTCTTTTCAATTTTTTAAAACTAACTGATTTTAGAAAGAGGAAAGGAAAGAGAGACATCAATTTGTTGTTCTACTTATTGATCAATTAATTCACTGGTTGAATGTTTTATGTCCCCTGACTGGGGATCAATCAAACCTGCAACTGTAGCGTATCAGGACAACTCTAACAAACTGAGCATCCAGCTAGGGCAGAACATTTTCTTTTGAAAAATGAGACTTCATTTATATGAAATATACCAAGTAGGTAAATACTTGGGGACAGAAAGCCGTTTGGAGTTGTCAGTCAGTAGGAAGCACAAATGTGGAGCAACGAACTGCTTAACAAGTACTGAGTTTCCTTATGTAGTGATGATAACTTCAACCTAGATAGACATGAATATACAACACAGTGAATGTACTAATTGCTGCTGAATTACTTACTTAATGTTACTTATATGAACTTGACTGCAATTTTTAAAAAAGTAGGAACTATTTTTTACAGTGATGTATCATAAAAAAAGAGAAAGGCTGAAGAAGCGTTTCATATTAAAAGAGAATAGAGATATGACAACTATATGCAGCCTATAGTCCTAGACTGGCAGGAAAGATGTTGAAAAAAACATTACTGGGTCAATTGATGAAATCAGAATAAATTTTAAGAAACATTCTGCCAATATCAAACTAACTGAGGTTGGCATCTACAGTATGAAAGAGGACATCCTCATTCTTAGGAAGTACACATTGAGGAGGTAACAAGGCCATGATGCACACAACTTACATATTTAAATGTGTATGCATGGTATATGTGTGTGTTTGAGAGCATATGAGAACACAAGTGATAAAACTAATAGGGTAAAAATATTGATTAAGTGAATATAGACTTCACTATTATTTTGGCCACTTTAAATTCACAATTATTGGCAAATCAAAATTTTTAAAGAGCATATGCCTTCCAAAAATGTTCTGTATTAACTGAAACCACTCTGTAAGTCTAAAAATGCACTAACCTAACATTATGTAAAGGTTTGTAAAAACGCAGCCTCTTCTCTACACACTCGGCGAGCAGTACTCACATTAATAAGTTCCAGATCACACTGGCCACGTTCGTAAGCAACGCAGGCCAGATGTGGATCTCTCTTCTCACAATACTTTCCAACAACACGACTGTCATAATAAGGGTTTTCACGAAGAAATCTCTCTGGGTTGTTATTACTGTCTATGTAGATTTTGGCTAACGCATTGTGAGTAGCAGGCTCCTCACAGCCCTCGTGAATTCTGGCCTCTAGCCACGGCAGAAGCAGTTTCAATCTAGTAAAACAAACAAACAAACACCCAGTGATACATATTGTATCATAAATAGCACACTCTTGACATGCTGTTTAAGTACCTTAGAGTCTGTAATGTGCCTTCCTATGTATTATTTTGAATTCTCAACAACCCTATTACAAATTGAAAAATTAACACTCTGGATGGTTTAATGATTTGCCCAAGATTACACAGAAAGTATATAAAACTATCTTTATTCTCCCTGACCTATCATTACATTATGTAGATGGGATACAAAAAGAAGAGATTATAGATTCATAGATTGTTCTCTTTTTTTACTGGACAAAGTATCTACACTTTAGGTAAATTTTGTTTAAGAGTGTACTGGGGATGTGGTACGAGAAAATAGTCCAGATTATCTGATGTTTCATTTTAACACAATTAACATACAACATTACCTACAGCCAAAGGAGTCAGTACCCTAAATACACAGCTGGGAACAAAATCTGGTAGCTTCAGCAGCTCTGGGTTTAATAATTCTAGTGGTCATATGATCGCTCCACCAAGGATCATAGTTTCACTAAGCTATAGTGTATGTTTCAATGGTTTAAATATCCAAAGTACCCAGAGAAAGAGCAGTGTAGGCCATTATTTTGTCTAGCAAATTCATGTAGTTATTATGAGCACACTCCTATTAGGATAAAGACACAACTTTTTTTTAAAATTAATAAAAGCAAAAATCAAGCTCCTATAAACACCTGCAACCCAAGCACATGTGCCATGGTAATTGACAGAATAAAGATTAGCAAATGCACATCGAAACTGGTGGCTTACATGTAAATCTAGTTTATCACAATATAATCTGTCAATTAAAGACAGAAGTGTTCACTGTGACAATCTGGCTCTTTGCCTATACACAACAAACAAGACTTTTCAGGGAGTAGACTTAAGACTCAACTGAAACCTAAATATTAAATTATGTTCCATAATCACTTCAGACTCAAACTTTTTAAATTGGCATCATATTCTATCTTCACTGTCCTTATATGCAAAATTTTTTCATGTCTGAAACATTCAAATACAAATTTTATGAATACCATTAGTAGGACACCCATACCAACTCAGGTTAAAATTAACCCCCATAGAATTTCTTGGTATTTTTTCATAGCTAGAGGAACTTCCCACTATTACACGAATCCACAAACCTCATTTACTACATTGGTATCTTCTGAACACTAGTTCATCAAAATGTCCCAACTAAAATAAGATTTCATTGTATAATAAAGATTAGAAGCACTTACATGATCATGTTCTCTGTGGGAAATTCATAATTAGCATTATCATATTATTTAAACCAGTTACACAGGCAACTCTTTTCTCTCATTATACTTGAGAATAATTAATCAAAGAATCAGTCATTAAATAAGGGGTATCATACCTAATTAAAAAGAGGCTTTTCAGAGTTTACCTTAAAAACACATACCAAGTCAACTCATGTAGTGGTAATTATCAATATGCAAAAAAGTGATCAACCAGGTTAACAGATTTTCTGTATGACAGCTATAATGTTATAGAAAAGAGTTTTAATCAATACTACAGGTAACTTATCACTTCTAAATTAAGTGTTTTAGGGAATTACGGTCCATTTATTTCTGGAATAGCTTTTAGGCAAATGACAAGTTACAGTTTTATCCATTACCATACTAAGAAAGACTAATGCATTCCTGTCATGGAGGTTAAAAGGGTACTACACCTGTTTCTTTTTTCAACCTCAGCAACAAGCTCATCAGTAGAAAATTGACCTCTTACAACAAGAATCAAGTTTTTAATGACATCTTCAGAGCAATCAACATCCAGTAACCCTCCAATAACCACAGGAAGTCGACTTGGATTCACCTAAGGTTAGAAAAAACAGAATGATGTCATCATATTAGGAATAAGCAAAGCAAAAGGAGTTTTAAAAATTAAACATTTCCCCCTCTTTTAAGTTCAGGTTTAAAATTCAATCATAAATTAAAGTCTAAATTTGCAACTAGACTGAGGAATTTAGCAAGAGGTTAGCTTGGTTAATTAATCACCCCAGCACTGCTCCAAAGGATAAGTCAGTCCAAACAAGCTAAAGGCACACTAAAAAGGCCTCCATTATAGCAAAACTGCCTTTCTATTTCTGGAGTTAGAAGGCGCAGTTTCTGGTATCTGTATTTAAGGTGGCTTTAAAACTGTGCTTTGGAGTCTATGGCCTCTATGGATACCACAGGGGCTACCACACCAGTAGGGCATAGGCCATCCAATTTTTTCAATGACAGTCTGCCGCTCTGTTTTACATACTTGACATGCATGTAAAGTTTTAATCAAAGAAAGGACTTTGGTGGGAAAAAATGTGGAGATTTTAATTATAGGAGACCATAGAGTTTTAAAAAGATAAAGATTTCCAGAATGTGAGAAGTAAAATCTACAGTAAGATTTAATTTTTAAGTTATCTAGATATTACTTACTTACCTTTTGTACATATATCTCTATATATTTTTGAAGATTATTTCTATATAAGTAGAGCACCAAATCATGGACAAAGTCAAATCGATCACATACAATGATGAGTGGTAACTGATCTGTCAGCTTAGCTTCCTGGAAAACAAAACAAGACAAAACGAAACCTTAATTTACTCCTTCTATAAGATATGAAATCTATGTAAAATATGAGAATCTGTTTTATACTGGTGGGAGAGGCTCATATAAACTTGGCTGTTCTTTTTAAAAAGACACGACCCAAATGCTGGACAGTGCCCATTGCAGTTTCATTAAATTTTTACTAATCAATACTTAGAGTCACAGCAAAATACCAGGTCCTTCCCACATACGCCCTCTACCAAAAAACAGTTAACAAACTAAGACTTGTGAGCCACCACTGGCATTCCCGATATGAGGTCATCAGAGTGGGACTTTCATTATACTAGTGATATAACAGAGTTCAGCTGATTTAAGACCAATAGTCACATTGTCAAAACTATGGCATACATTGCTCGAACTTGTTTCAAACTAATGGCTTATTTTTGGCCCCTCCCCAACTGCATTCTATGTGGTCAGCTTCCAACATTCTATTATAATAAAGCCTACAAGAAGCAGTATGATGGTGACAGCCATGAATTAAACACACCACATGTTGCTATAATTAGAAGTTAAGCAAAAGCAAGCACTTAAAGACATCTTTAAATTTCCTATTGCTTTTATCATTACAAATACCAAGATATAATATATCCTACTTTATAGATGGACATAGATGTTACAGACAGAAGTTTAAGACCTGTACTGGGCATTTACCTGATACATGTCCTGTTACATTCCACAGACATAAGGTAAAGCACAAAAAACAACAGTTTCCATCAGGAATTCATTTACACACAATGAAACATTCCTCAATAATTGATTTATCTACAACGATCTACTAAGGAAGTGGAACTAAGCAGGATAGGACTTTCCCCAATGACAGCCACTAAGAACATTATTTGCAAGATTAGAATAACATAGCACCTAAGTTTAGCACACACGAGTCACCCAATTAAAAATAACTTGAAGATTAGTCTAGGAAGTGTTCAGAGAACACAAACTATATCTGGGAGTCATGAGAAATCCTGAATAAAAATCAAAATGGCATGCGTGGGTTGGATTTATGGCAAGCCCGTCCTCCTGGGTCCCTCACAGTGCCCCCTGTCAGAGGAGACTGCGGCCTTAACCCATCACCTGGCCTCTTGCCCATAGGCTGCAGGCACTGAAATGGGTTACCCAGTGGGGGTGGGGGGTCAGAACAGCTGTAAATCTGAAGTGGAAGTCCAGCTGCAGATTTTTCACATTAAGGAAAGTCTAAAACAAGTATTTGGCAGCAGGAAAACTCTGTACTAAACAGCTGCTACAATCATTTCTAGAAAAAATGTTTGCTCTAACTATGCAGACTTCAGTCCTACTAACTAAACATCGAAAAGTTAGTGGATCATCACATTAATCATCTTTACTTTCTTTAATATACATATAAAATTGTATGTACTTTACTACTTAGGAGACAATATACCTACAAGTAAGCTAAGATTATGTAGATATTCTAGTTTCATTTCTGCTATCAAAGACAAATATATTGTATTTCCCCCCAAATTTTAAGATTGAAAAAGTAGACAAAATCTACAATACTTCATTGATTGCCTAAATTTGCATGTGATTTCATACATGTAAGTAATGCTATTATCATTTTAAATTATTTAAAGGTTACCCTGTAGCTATTATGGTTAAAGATTTTTAAGATCAAAATTAAAATTATATAAACATATTCAGGTTTTCATAAATATGAAGTTATTCACTTAACTAATACTTCCTGAGTACCTATGTACCAGACACTGTATTAATGCATGGGAGATAGAGCAGAGAACAAAGTAAACATTCCCTCAAGGGACTTACATTGTAGTGGCCAGAGACAAGGTCCCCTAGTGCCAAGTGTTATTTTAAAAAGCAGAATATGGGGACGTAAGGATGGAGTAAGGATAGGTTAGCGTAATCTGAGACATTCTTTCTTACGACATTTAATGAGAAATCTTAAAGAAGGTTAAGGATGTAGATTATGAAGGTCTAAGAGAAAAGTGGGAAAGGGTGCAAGCAAAGGCCCTGGGGCAGGAGAGGGTTTGGAGAGTTCCAGAAAGAGCAAGCAGACCAGTGTGGTTCATGCAAAAGAGGAGGGGAAAAAACAATAGAAAAGATTGAAGGTAGGAGGAAGCAGATCATGGGTCTGAAGAACAGGTCCATGCTTTCTATGGAGAGCTGTAATTCCACAGTAACTTAGGGCATGAGCCAAATGATGCTGATGTCACATTTCCTCCTGCTTCACCGGTTACCATAGATGGGAAGTCATATTCTACCAATCTTCACATTGCTGGTGGCTAGCATACAACTGGCACTTGAACATTCAAGATCAGATTCAGAGAAGTGTTTTTATCATCAGAGTTTACATAAAACACCAGTCAATTATCATACAGCTACTACCTCCAAAATAAAGTTTAATAATAGTGATGATGAGATGTAGCACTGCAGATACCATACTATAAGTCAATAAGGAAACTGAGTAAATGGTCTGGTATGGTCGTTCTCACTACTGGGGTTATAGATACCCCTAGTACTTTAGTATTGAGCCCCCATCTCAGATTATTTAAAGATAAGACACCAGATTTACCTCTAACTCAGACTGGAATTAAATTTCCTTCAAGGAGTCAAGAATAACTTCAAAAGAAACAAAACTTGCCTGGTAGAAAGAATTCACATGTAGGCCAACTCTACCTTATCTTCAAGGCCCACCAACACAGCTATCTGACAACTGTTTTCACTTGCACAACTATAGCATATTGATAAACACAATCTGTGGCCGAAGAAACCAAGGCTGAGTTAATTTGCTTAAAGTAACAGGCAGACATATACTCAACGAACAAACAGGAGCTAATAATAGAAAGAAATGGATTTTTGAACCAGGTTTAAATGCCTCAAAAGTCCATAATCTGTATATATGCCCTTACTCCATTAGGCTTGCACCCGATTCACAGTGTGAGGGGGGAATCCTAACCTAATTACATTTCATGGGCTAAGTGATGGCTGTACCATTCTAGTATCCAGATAATTTTTTTGAAGCTTAAGAACATCATAATTAAGTAAAAATAATTTAATCTTGATTTACAGATGTGCCTGTAAGATAATAAAAAATATTAAAATAAGTATTTAAAATATTATATACATAAAATAATTCAAATATTAAAACCCAATGCTAAAAAAATTGTGACTGAAGTCTAAAATCTGGGAGCTCAATTAAAAAAAATCAGTTTAAGCACCTGGTAATATTTTTTAAAAAAGGAAACAGTACTGATACTGAAAGCAGGAACTGAACTGGTGTTAGGGGTCCACTGGCCAAGCATAAAGCATCAATCTTTCTCATTGGGAGGGATTTTTGGACAATAGAAAATCATGGGTTCAAACACATCACTCAGGCCACTCAGGCATTTGTAATGGCCTAGACATTATAAAGCTATACTTTTGGGGAAAGTTTCCTTTTAATCTATACTTCGGGGCCACTTCAACACTTTGACTACCTCCTTACACTGAAACACCTAAGGTTTTAGCTATTTAATCTACAGCCCACGTAGCAAATTCTTCCAAAAAAAAAAACCCAATCAGCTAATACAACTACAGATGAACTAAAAACAAAGACAAAAAATGCTTAAGAATGTTATATTCAGTCTCTGGAATCATTTCATGCATATAAATAAATACACATTTAGGAAGATAAAATGAATGTTCTACAGTTTTCCTGATTTTTAGAGACAACTGATAATTTTATCTTGAGAGAGAGACAGACACTGATTTTCCATTCCACTCATTTTTGTATTCATTGGTTGATTTTTTTAAAAGATTTTATTTTTTTATCTTTAGAGGAGAAGGGAAGGAGAGAAGGAGAGAAACATCAGTGTATGGTTGCCTCTTGTGCGTCCCCTGCTGAGACCTGGCCTGCAACCCAGGCATGTGCCCTGACTGGGAATTGAACTGCAGGTGTTTGGTTCACAGACCTGGGCTCAATCCACTGAGCTACACCAGCCAGGGCTCACCAGTTGATTCTTGTATGTGCCTTGAACAGGGATCAAACCCACAACCTTGTGGGTATTGGGATGACCCTCTACCCAAGAGAGCTTCCCAGCCAGGACTTGCAACTGCCAATTTTAAAGTTTTATTTTCCTCATAAAGTAAGTAGTAGGTATGAGAATAAAGCTAAAGTTAAACATTAAACAAAAGTAGCTACCCTTAGGTATATTTTAAAGAGCTAAGAATCTTTAAATCATTACTTTGCACTCCAACAAAGGCAGTTTTTATTTCTCTGTAACTAAATTCATGTGCCACAAAGCTGAGGATTTTTTTGTTTGATCTCACCCTCGATTTATTAATTATACAAGATTAATATTTATTTAGTTTCTAGAGTCAGGGTAATTTGATGACAGAGATAAACCCATGTCTTTAAGAAACAGAACCCTCTGCATACAGTAGAGGTTCCTTAAAATGGCACTAAAGGCAAGCTGAACTTACTGTTCAAAAGGAGACCAAGTGGCATATTCTAAAGTGACATGAAGAGTCTACAACCACTTGCAAATTTTTTCCTCCAAAACTGAAGTGAAAGAAAGGAAATTCCTTTGAAATAGTGCTATTTTTTCCCTTCTTTTAAACAGATGGTCAATCTTAAGTATTACTAATTTCCTTCCCTATTTCAGAAAAAAACCACAGAGTATTAAATATAGAAGAAATAATTTAACAAGCAATTTCAGAATGCTAAGAATTTCACATTTGGGGGGAAAATTTTTCTAAACTAACCAAATCCTTGTGGAATTGCTGATCTTCAACCCAACCAGAAACTGCATTACTCAAAATCACTTACCTTGAGAAAATTCTTCACTCGCTCAGGATCATAGCAGTTGCTTTCTCTGCAGATTCTTTCTACTTCTTTGATCTGCCCAGTCTTACAAGCTGCCTGAATATATTTAAAGTGCACATCTGGGTCCTGACTAAAGTTAACAATAGATCCCAGAAAATAAAAGAGACCTTGAGAGAACAAATAATTGAAATTAAGTTTAGGTACATTTTTGAGAATAACACAACTGAACAACAACAAAATAAAACCCAAAAAACAATTACACCGAATACTCCCAAATAAAAACTGGGTGCTCAAAAAGCCCCATCAGAATACTAATTAATCCAGTAATCGGTTCACTAAATGGCTTTGCACTCTAATTCCTATAAAACAGAAAATTCGATCCAATTGTTTTCTAGTAGTTAAGAAATAGTTAGGAGGCAGTTACTTAATACCAAAGCTAACTATCACACCAAATTCCACATGAGAAATTTTAAATGAAGTCCTTTATATAGCAGGTGTTTTTCCATAAGCAATTAATAGAAAACATGGAAAGGCAGTGTGAAAAGAATTCAATGCAGTGCACTCCAATACAGTAACCATTAATCACATGTAGCTATCAAATACTTCAAATGTGGCTAGGAGGACTGAAGAACTGAATTTTAATTGTATTCCATTTTAATTACTTTAAATTTACATGGTTACATGCCACTAATGATTGCTGCAGTAAATGAATACTAGAAATTTAGTGTGAAGTTAACATACAGAAACTGAGAAAATGAAGAAAACTAGTGAATATCTTATTCCTTCTTGTCTAGAGCAACACTACAAAAAGAGGGAAGAAAGCGTACCGTATTTTGCCCTGTATATGTTCCCATTAATACTGTGCACCCACATTTATGGCCCAAACTTTCAGGAAAAAAATCTTTCGTTTTACCTTTTCAATTTATTCATTTATTTATATTTAGAAATGAAACCAATTGTATTTTCGGGTATTACTGTGCATACAGATATTGTTATTGCCTTCTAGAATTACACTTTTAACACATAAATATAAAAAAGAATTTAAAATATTTATATAGGTACGGAATTAGCACTACATGTATAATGCACATCCTTATTTTTCCCTCAAAAATTTGGGAAAAAAAAAGTGTACATTATACATGGCAAAATATGGTACTTGGGGACCAGAAGTTTAGTTAATGAACCCAAAAGCCACCCAACAGTGGTTACGTTAGTATATTCTGCACAGCAGTGGTTCTCATCTGGGGGTGATTTTCTTCCCCAGAGACACTGGGCAATGTCTAAGACATTTTTTGTGGTCACAACTGGTGGCACTGAGCCACCAGCATCTAGTGAGTAGAAGCCA